TGGATGGAGGGGTCCCAATTGGGCAACCATGTTATGTATGCCGATAATCTGGTGATTGCAGTTCACTCAAAGGAGGAGATTGAGGCGCTGCTACTAGACCTGGAGCGTGCCACTAATAGGTGGAGCCTTACCATCAGCCCCACCAAATCTAAGCACCTGCCTGGGTATTCTGTACCATCAAAAACTCCACCCCCACACCTCCCAATTTGTGATGGGGCAGTTGTAGAGAGAGTGGAAAGGCCCCATACCTTGGCGGTGTGCTCATGACCGGCTCCGGTGTGACAGCAGAGGTCTCACTTCGAATCAGTCCAGAGCCATATTTTCATCGGCTGCGTAATGTTGGGTGGAAGCTACCTGGTCTGCAGCTCCACACGAAGCTTCGGGTCTTCTCGGCCACATTCATGCCCTTCTTTCCCTTTACTTGCAAAACGTGCACCACCCCTAATGGAACATCTTCGCCAGTTAGAAACATTCACACGGGCCTGCCTATGATCCATTCTGGGTTTAACCAGGCTGGATTGTGTGAGGAGCTCACAAAACATATCTGGACAAAGTTCCATCGGTGAGCTCCTCCGGCAGGCAAGGCGTCGTCCTCCTAGAGGCTACCCGGAAGTACATTTGTCTATGTCTCCTTTACTCGCTACTAATCAAAGCACTTGCCCCCTAACCGCCCTGCTATAGGCTAACTGGGAGTACTCGCTACTACAACAGCACTTGCCGCTACAGCCCTGCTATAGGCTAATCAAGAGTGCCTTTGTCTTTGTGTCTCCTCTACTCACTACTAACGCACAGCCCTTGTCACCATAGCAACAGCCCTGGTCAGATGCCCTCCTAGCCGAGGCCCTGCCTCCTTACCGGCGGCCTGCAGCCCGGCCACGATCCCTCCGGCCGCCACCCCACCTCCGTTGGCGGCCGCGGCCAAGGACATGGCCTTGGCAGCCACGGAGCCGGCGGCGATCCCTGCAGCACCGAAGCCCGCGGCTCCTAATAGCACTGGGGCCAGAACAACTGCCCCACTGGCTCACAACAACAACAAGCATGGCAACAACAATAACAACAGTGAGGAGGGAGGAGGCTAGCCCACAACAACAACGATGATAACAACACACAAACGATCACGTGGATGCATGGCGTCGCAGCAGCGTCACCATCACACAGCATCAGACACAGCATCACACACAGGATCATACAGCATCATAGACAGCCTCACACAGCATCACACCTAGGCTCACACAGCATCACACACAGGATCATACAGCATCACAGACAGCCTCACACAGCATCACACCCAGGCTCACACAGCATCACATACAGCCTCACATACAGCAATACACTCAGCATCATACAAAGCATCACACAGCATCAACAACAACAACGACCGCTATTCGCCACGAAGTGGCAGTGACATCACCACGATGCTTGTGCCAGGATGTGTGCACCTTGAGGCCACGTGAAGTGTTGAACGCCTGCTGGCAGGAGGTTACGGGGTAGACCCAGGTGCCACGGGGCGACTGACTGAGATGACTGGCTGATGCACCACCTGTGCCCCCTACTGTGCTAACTTGCTGTGCTTTAGCGACCAAGCACTCCGCTCGTTGTTGTGAGCATCGCTCCTCGCCCTCCATTATTGTTGGAGGGCGACTGCCTCCAACTGCCCAGTAGCCTCCTTCACGAGCCTCCAGTTATCGGCAAGTCAACTCAGCTCCACATCCTCCTGTACCACATCAAAACATCTCTTTCCTAGCCCGTGCCGTGCCCGTTTAGACCCTTCGATCCGACAGAACAAAAGCTGTTTTGGCATGCGGTGGCTGGGCATGCGGGCTACATGGCCCAGCAAACGCAGCCTTGCCTGCCGTAGGAGCTCACCGATGGAACTTTGTCCAGATCTTTCAAGGATTTGTGAGCTCCTCACACAATCCAGCCTGGTTAAACCCTGGATGGATCGTAGGCAGGCCAGCCTAAATGTTTCTAACCGGCGAAGATGTTCCATTAGGGGGTCCACGTTTCGCAAGCGTAGAGAAGGGAAGGAATGACCATGGGCCAAGAAGACCTGCAGCGTCGAGCGGAGCAAGATACCAGGTAGCTTCCACACAGTGTTATGCATCCGATGAAAAGATAATGCCGCTCGACTGATTCGGATTGAAACCTCTGCTGTTAAACCGCAGCAGATCATGAGCACACTGCTCAGGTATGGGAAACTCTCCACTCTCTCCACAACTGCCCCATCACCAATTGGGAGTTGTGGGGGTGGATTGTCCGATGGTACAAAATACCCAGGCAGTGCTTAGTTTTGGTGGGACTGATGGTAAGGCCCCACCTCTTAGTTGCAAGCTCCAGGTTCAGCAACAGTGCCTCCAACTCCTCCTCTGAGTGAGCAATTATCACCAGATCATCAGCATATGTAACATGGTGGAGCAATAGGAAGCCATCCCTTGACCGCACCCGGGCATCGATCAGCCTCCCATTGTATCTGCAACCAGATGGAAATTCCTCCAGGACAGCCATTGAAGGCTTCACGAACTACGTGGTCAAAATAGATGTTCAATAATGTAGGAGCCAGAAGACATCCCTGTCGCACCCCAAGGTGTACAGGGAATGGTCCTTAATGATTGTGAGCAAAGGGTCAGGGACTCCGAAAGCACAAAAAACAACCCAGAGCCCAGGCCTACTGATCGTATCATAGGCCTTGACCAGATCAATAAAACAGAGATGTAGGTCTTGTTGGGATTCCCTACACCTCTGCTGTAGCAGACGGACAGAATATATGGCATCTGTGCAGGACCGCCCATTCCTGATACCGCATTGGGGCTCAGCAAGCCTCTCCTCAGTGTGCCTAGCAAGGCGATGTTGAATAATCCTTGCAGGACCTTTCTCGGCAGACTGAGGAGTGAGATGCCCCTGTAGGTGTTACAGTCTGTGCGGTCCCCCTTCTTAAAGAGGGGGACCACCAGGGCATTGTTCCAATCATGCGGACCCGTCTAGTGGTCCAGACTGTTGTTATGATGTCATGTAGGGCAGTATGTGCACATACGCCACCGTCCCTCAGCATTTTGCTTAGGAGATCATCTCTGCCCGGTGCCCTTCTGGATCGCCTTAAGTACTTCCTCAACAGATGGCACCTCAGCCAGCCACTCACAGGGGGTGACTTCTTCCTACAATATTTGAGGCACCGCTGCCTCGGCAGGGTAATCCCCACTTTGTCCCATGTTGTTTTTCTGGGTGAGGGATTTCCCCTTCCCCAGGACCTCACAGAAATGCTCAACAAATCTGCAAACCTGTTCCTGGGGGTCAGAGATTGTATCACCGTTCTTTCCGCTAATGATGGTAAAAGGTGTGGCACTGCAGGTTACTTTTTTTGATGGAATTAAAGAGCGATTTGTGATCGTGGGCCACTGAGGCAGACTCCATCTCCTCAGCAACCGGCGACCACCACCCATCCTTGCAGCACCTCACGGCTCTCCGAACCTCCGAGCAAAGGCTGCGGTAAGCCTCCTCATTCTCTGATGTGGGATGCTGCAGCCGATGAGAGTGGGCCTGTCGCTTTTTCTCAGCCAGCTTGAACACCTCCTCTGTCAGCCAGGGTCTCTGGGGAGGTCTGGACCATGGACCTAAAGCAGCCATTGCAGCGGCATGAGCCACAGTCCTAAACCTCGCCCATTTCCCCTCGACATCAGAAGGAGTGGGGGACGATGGCAACCCTATCCGCAAGCGATGATTAAATTATCGCTTGCAACTTTCATCAGCTATATGAGACCGGTCCATCTAAGGTTTGAATGGGGTCCTGGATTTACACCCACAAACGGAGTGGAAGAATGGTAGGCGAATCTTGCATATGACAAGTTGATGGTCAGTTTGCAGATCAGCTCCACGGTAGGTTCTGGTGTCAAGGACATGGGCCCACATCTGCTGTTCCGTCACTATGTAGTCCAACAGATGTTCTTGCTTCAGCCCGGCATGCATCCATGATGTAGTGTGGATGCGCCGATGCCGGAACAGCGTGTTGGTAATTACAAGCCCATGCCCTGCACAAAAATCTAGCAGCCTCCTACCGTTGTTATTGAGCAGATCTGGCCCAAGCCTTCCAATTACTCCAGACCAGGTGCCAGCATCATGACCAATTTGGGCATTGAAGTCACCCAAAAAAATAACTCTATCTCGAGGGGCTACTTTTGCGAGCACCTGTGACAGGAGGTCATAGAAGGCATCTGACTCATCGGTGGGGGCATAAGTAACCATTACCACCACTCCTCGCCTCTGGTTGATTGGAAGGCGAGCCCAGAGAAGCCTGGGGCTTACAGCTTTCCACACATCACACCACGCTCCCACGACCCCTTCATTATTTTATTCAGAAGAAGAGCCACACCCTGTTGCTTGGCAGTCTCCTGCCCCGAGTAGAGAACTGTCCACCCCTCATGGTGGCAGGAGCCAGAGCCGGTCCATCGGACCTCCTGAATACCGCAGAGATCCAGGCGGTACCAGTCCAGCTCCCGACAGAGGAGTGGCAGCCTCTCCTCTGCAGTGAGCTTTCGAACATTCTACGTGGCCACAGGTAGTGGATTTTTATTGTTTCTGGAGGAGCCCCGAGGGTAAGGATTCGGTCTCCTGGGATCATAGATGCCTGTCCCCCCGGGACCTCCAGCACAAGCTTATTAATTTGAGATTTTAAACGTAGTTTAGTGGTAATTAATTGAAGGTGGAGGGGTCACCAAGCCCCTCGCACCCTTCCAGAGCGCCCATTTAGTCGCTGTGATGGTTGCAAACGCCATGCGACAAAAAGCCAAACAGAATTCGCCCTCCCCCTACGGCACTGCCCACGACAGCGTTGCCCGTCTGGCACCACGAGGAGGTAAGGGGTTGTTTTGCTGTGTGTGATGCTGTGTGTGATGCTGTGTGATGCTGTGTTAGGTTGTGTGTAATGTTGTGTATGTTGCTGTGTGTGATGCACACAGCAGGGTCACAACACCAGCGATCACGTGGAGGCATGGCAATGTTATCGCTTACCTCCTCCGGCTGCCATGGCGCCAATCTTACACCAGTTGGTCGACTCGCCCTCTGTTTGGGGGTTACACAGTGCGATTAGTTCCATGAACTCACATATACACACTGCACTCTACACTACTATATACTACACTATACACTACTATATACTACTACACACTACTACACTACTATATACTACTATACACTACTACACTGTACACTACTATATGCTACTACACACTACTACACTATACACTACTATATACTACTACACACTACTACACTATACACTACTGTATACTACTACACACTACTATACTATACACTACTATATACTACTACACACTACTACACTATACACTACTAAATACTACTACACACTACTACACTATACACTACTATTTATTACAACACACTACACTATACACTAATATACACTACAATGTAGGAAATGTGCACATAGTGGTTAAATATACATACTGACCAATATATACACTACACTTCTATACACACTGCACTATACATGGACTCCTCTGCTTACGAACGAGTTAGGTTCCAGAGGTCTGTTTTTGTAAGTCCAAACTTTAATTATGTCGATTCCAATCGCCAAGAATGGCGTGTACAGTAAACACGGGGAATGGCTTCAAGAGATTTTCAGGTTCTGAAGATGTAGATACCACTGGTTCTTAATGTTCTGCAAATGTAGATACCACTCAATCTTCAGATTCTGCAGATGTAGATGCAACTGATTCTTCATGATCTGCAGATGTAGATGCCACTGGTTCTTCATGATCTGCAGATGTAGATGCCACTGGTTCTTCATGTTCTGCAGATGTAGATGCCACTGGTCTTCAGGTTCTGCAGATGTAGATGCCACTGGTTCTTCATGTTCTGCAGATGTATATGCCACTGGTTCGTCATGTTCTGCAGATGAAGATGCCACTGGTTCTTCATGTTCTACAGATGTAGATGCCACTGGTTATTCATGTTCTGCAGATGAAGATGCCACTGGTTCTTCATGTTCAGCAGATGTAGATGCAACTCGTTCTTAAGGTTATTTAGATGTTAATGCCACTGTTCCTTCATGTTCTGCAGATGTAGATACCACTGGTTCTTCAGGTTCTGCAGATGTACGACTCTCACTTAAAAATAGCAACTGGACATAGGGACAGGTCTGTACGTATCTCTGAAAGTTCCTAAGTAGAGGAGTCCTTATACTACTGTTGCGTCGTAGAACCACGCGGAGACGTAACTTCTTGTAAGGGATTCCGCCATTTATTAACACTCGTTAAACACTCAGGCTCACACCAGGGGTAGGTGTTCTCTATACTCCTTCCCATGGACCCCCGAGCTCTACTCGTCCTATTCCTTGGGCTCTCTCACTCGGGCCGGGACGAGGGTTCAGCCAACACCATCCGGTCACGAGCAAGAGAGACCTCCTGCATCCGATCCACACTCCGGGCTCCCACAATGACCACGAATTCGTCACGGGGTGCCCCTTAAGTAACCCTTGGGTGGCTCCTCCCCTTCACTCGGACCCGCCCCTTTCAGCAGCCATGACATGACGTCATCACACTACTACTCTACACAACTATACACTAAATTTCCATTTAAAACTTTCGTGACTGCAGGGATTCATCTTTTTGTTTCTTTCGGTAAAGTCACGTAGAAGGGAAATAATAAAATTATAAAAATTAAAAATAAAATAATTCTCACGACGTTTCGGCCACAACGCAAGCAGCCGTCCTCAACGCAAGCAGCCGTCCTCAGGTGAAGAACAGGTCTGTCGGAAAGACGCTGTCATTCAAACGCTGTCTTTCCAACAGACCTGTTCTTCACCTGAAGACGGCTGCTTGCTTTGTGGCGAAACATCGTGATAATTATTTTATTATGTTTAATTTTAATTATTTTATTATTTCCATTCTACGTGACTTTACCGAAAGAACCAAGAAGAACTATACACTACTACACACTACTATACCATACTATATACTACACTACTATACACTACACTACTATTTACTATTATATACTATTATACTGCACTTTATATACACGACACTATATACTTCACTACTATACCTGCAGATGTAGATGCCGCGGGTTCTTTGGGTTTTGTATTTGAAGATGCCAGTGATTTTTCATGTTCTGCAGATGTACGACTCTCGTTAAAAAAAGGCAGATGGACATAGTGACAGGTTTGTACGTATCTGTGAGTGCTCGTAAGTAGAGGAGTACTTATACTACTTTATACTACAGCACACTACTATACCATACACTATACTACACTACTATACACTACACTACTATACACAACGCTATACACTATACGTGACACTATACACTACACTACTATATACTATTACACTGCACTTTTATATACACGACACTCTATACTATACTACTATACACTACTCTATACACTACTACACACTACACTACAAACACGACACTATACACTACACGAATATACACTACTACACACTACACTACTATACACTACTACACACTACACTACTATACACGACACTATAGACTACACTAATATACATTACATTATTGTATACGGCACGATACACTACACTACTATACATAATGCTATACACTACAATACACTACATAATACACTACAGTACTATACAATACACTAACATACACTACACTACTATACACTACACTACTGTACACTACACTACTATACACTACACTACTACACACTACACTACTATACATTACACTACTACACACTACACTATACACTACACTACTACACACTACACTATACACTACACTATACACAACACTACTATACACCACTACTATGCATGACACTATATACTATACTATCCTCAAAACTATACAATACACCACTATACACGACACTATACATTATACTACTATATGCTACACTATGCACTACATTACTATACACTACACGACTATACACAACACTATACATTATACTACTATATGGTACACTATACACTCCGCTAATATACACGACACAACGATGCACTACACTATACCATACAATGCACTACTATACAAGGCACTATACACTACTATTCACTCAACTATACAGTACTTTACACTACACTACTATACACTACTAGATACGTCACTATACATCACGCTACTTGACACTTAACACTATGCTACTAAACACGACACGATACACTACTATACACTGTACATGACACTACTGTACACACTGTTAGGTTTTTTCGGTAAAGTCACGTAGGTAAAAAAAAATAAAAAATAAAAAAATAATGGAAATAATTATATTAATAAAATAATAAATCACGACGTTTCGGAGGCAACACAAGTCTCCGTCATCAGGTGGGACCGTCACAGCTAAATTTACTGTATCAAGTGAGGAAAAATTCCGAAAGACAAGCTCTTAAATACAAGTTAAGGGGGAGGGGGTCACGTACGTGACTTTACCGAAAAAACCTAAGAGTATGAATCCTTGCAGTCACGAAAGCTTCAAATTTCGAACTACTATACACTCCACTTTGAACTACTATACACTACACTACCATATACGACACTATACACTACTATACACTACGCTACTATAGATGACACTACTACACTATACATTGCACACTACTCTACTACACACTACACTACTATACACTACACTACTATACACTATACACTCCACTATACACTACTACACACTACACTACTGTACATAGCACTACACTGCACTATAAACTACTATACATTACACTACTATACACTCCACTATACACTACACTATACACTACACTCCAATACACTCCACTATACATTACACTATACACTACTGAACACTACACTAATATACACTACACTATACACTACACTATACACTAATACACAATACACGTTTTCCACTCCACTATACACTAAACTGTACACTAATACACACTACACTTCTATACACTTCACTATACACTACAACACACTACACTACTATACACTTCTCTATACACTACTACACTACTATACACTCCACACTACACTACACTATACACTACTATACACGACTTCCCCCGGACCTCCAATGAGCGCGATTGGCTACGTAACGGTGCAAAAGAGGTCCAACATACAGCGTACATACAAGTTTGAACATCTGAACAACTCCTACATTAAACAAAACGTGGCTACACTCACACACATGTACACACACATGTACACGCACAAAGACGTGTACACACGCACACACGTGTACACCCACACACATGTACACAAACATGTACACACACACGTTCACACACACATGTACACACATAGACGTGTACACACACGCACACACCTGAACACGCACACGTGCTGTACTCACCTTTAGCTATTGCGGGCGTGATCGAGACGCTCAAGATGGCGGCGATGAAGAGGACGGCGATCCTTTGTGACGTCATAGCTGACTCGGTGCTTGTGGGGAACCAATGAGAACGACGGCAGCTGCAACCTGCACGGCACCACACAAGGAAAAATATTCCCCCTTGCAGCCTCTTAACGGACTGAATGAGCTACAGTGAGGGAAAAAAGCATTTGATCCCCTGCTGATTTTGTACGTTTGCCCACTGACAAATGAATGATCAGTCTATAATTTTAATGGTAGGTTTATTTGAACAGTGAAAGACAGCATAACAACAACAAAATCCTGAAAAACGCATGTCAAAAATGTTATAAATTGATTTGCATTTTAATGAGGGAAATAAGTATTTGACCCCCTCTCAATCATATATACCCACTGAGACCCATACTCATGAAGACCCATAGAGATCCAGATACTCGTTTGGAACCACACACCCACAGACACCGATAGACTGAAACGAATCAATGTTTATGTTACTCGGAGAAGATAATCCACGCAGTGGCTAACACAGGGAGAGAGAAACTCTGACTCCAAATATACAGCAGCAGCAGCAGGCATCGTCAGGGTCGGGATCGAACCCACGAACTCCCGTTGACCTGGCGAGGTAGTTAACATTTCCTAGCCAATGTGGCGTTGGAGTCGGGATTGAACCCACGAACTCCTGCGTACCAGGCGAGGTAGTTAACATCTCCTAGCTACCGTGGCGTTAAGATCGGGATCGAACCCACGACCTCCTACGTACCAGGCGAGGTAGTTAACATCTTCCTAGCCACTGTGGGGTTATGGGCTATATCCCTTGCCCCCCTCTCTCCCCTCTCTCTCTCTCTCGCACACACCCCCCTCTCTCAGAGTCTCACCTCTCTCTCTTCACCATCTCCGCTCTCTCTCTCTCGCAGGGCTGCTTTTGTACCCAGGCAGGGACCGCCTCTGGCGCCGCATCACGAATTTCCCCGTCCGCTCAGTGACGGCGTTCATTAGAAATCCACTCCCTGCAGCGGCATGCAGCTCATACAGCTGTAGCTGCAGAATCGTGACGCTGCTGCTGAGACATTCTCAGCGAGCAGTGACTCAGCCGCATTCTGACATTCAGCTGCAAGCAATCCGGTCCTCAGCTGAGTCGTGTGTACACCTGTGTGTGTGTTTACCTGTGTGTGTGTTTACCTGTCTGTGTATCTGTGTGTGTATCTGTGTGTGTACCTGTGTGTGTGTACCTGTGTGTATCTGTCTATGTGTAATGTATGTGTGCCTGTGTGTGTGTACCTGTGTTTGTGTATCTGTGTGTGTGTAGCAGTGTATGTGTACCTGTGTGTGTGTACCTGTGTGTGTGTACCTGTGTGTGTGTGGCTGTGTGTGTGTACCTGTGTGTGTGTGTACCTGTGTGTGTACCTGTGTGTGTACCTGTGTATCTGTGTATACACATGTGTGTGCACCTGTGTGTGTACCTGTGTGTGTGTGTTTACCTGTGTGTACCTGTGTGTGTGTGTTTACCTGTGTGTGTGTACCTGTGTGTGTGTGTTTACCTGTGTGTAGCTGTGTGTGTGTGTTTACCTGTGTGTGTGTACCTGTGTGTGTATCTGTGTGTACACATGTGTGTGCACCTGTGTGTGCACCTGTGTGTGTGTACCTGTGTGTGTGTTTACCTGTGTGTGTGTACCTGTGTGTGTACCTGTGTGTGTGTGTTTACCTGTGTGTGTGTACCTGTGTGTGTGTACCTGTGTGTGTACCTGTGTGTGTGTGTTTACCTGTGTGTGTGCACACCTGTGTGTGTATCTGTGTGCACACCTGTGTGTGTGTTTACCTCTGTGTGTGTACCTGTGTGTGTACGTGTGTGTACGTGTGTGTTTACGTGTGTGTGTTTACCTGTGTGTGTATCTGTGTATGTGAACATGTATGTGTGCCTGTGTGGGTGTAAACCTGTGTGTGTACCTGTGTGTGTACCTCTGTGTGCACAAGCGTCGTGGTAACGTCACCGCCACTTAGTGGCGAATGGCGGTTGTTGTGTACCTGTCTCTGTGTGTACCTCAGTGTGTGTACCTCTGTGTATGTACCTCTGTGTGTGTACCTCTGTGTATGTACCTCTGTGTGTGTACCTGTGTGTGTACCTCTGTGTGTTTTTCTGTGTGTTGGGGAGCGGTAGTGTAGCGGTTAGCGCTACGCTGCACAATGAACCCGGTGACCCAGGTTCGATTCCCGCTCACGGCAAACACCTAGTGATGATTAACTGAACCGGTCCTGGACCTCTACTAGGTGGACTCAGCCTCAAATGAGTACCTGGTGCGGAGTGTAAACATCGCCACTGGGGAGACAAAGGCGGTAGGGCGTGGTGCTGGCCACCCACCCCCTCGTGTGCCGTTCCGGCCTTCATAGGTGCTCGCTAACAGCACTTACCCCTAAAGTCTGTTAAGGCTATAGGGGGATTTTTATCTTTGTGTGTGTGTGTGTGTACACCTGTGTATGTGTTCCTGTATGGGTGTGTACCAGTGTGTGCACCTGTGTGTGTAACTGTCTGTGTGTGTACCTGTGTGTGAACCTGTGTGTGTGCATCTGTGTGTGTAACTGGCTGTGTGTGTGTACCTGTGTGTGTTTCTATCTGTGTGTGTACGTGTGTGTACCTGTGTATGTGTACCTGTGTGTGTACCTGTGTGTGTACCTGTGTGTGTGTAACTGTCTGTGTGTTTGTACCTGTGTGTGTGTACCTGTCTGTGTGTATCTGTGTGTGTGGCTGTGTGTGTGTGTGCCGGTTGCCCCGGGGTGACAGGCGTCTATGACGTCTCGTGGCCAAACCCCATTTAGCGGAGCCAGGAGACTGAATCTTTACCCTCGGGGCTCCTCCAGAAACAAACCTTGCACAAACACACACCCCTCTATGCCCTGATGACGACCGCTTGTATTGCTATCGTAGTTTTTTGGTATTTTATTTGAACCTATCTACGTCACTTTAGCGAAACACCCAAAGACTACATTGCACAAGTGTCGTGCTGGCGTCACCGTCACTTAGTAGTGGCGAATGGCGGTGGTTGCTGAATGTCAGAATGCAGCTGAGTCACCGATAGCTTAGAATGTATCAGCCACAACGTCACGACCTGGCACTGCAAACGCAGAGGCGAAGATCCACCCAGGTAGCCTCTATCAGGGCTGTAGTGGCAAGTGCTGTCATTAGCAAGTAGACATAAAGACAAAATCCCCAGGTAGCCTCTAGCAGGGCTGTAGGGGCAAGTGCTGTCAGTAGCAAGTAGACATAAAGACAAAATCCCCAGGTAGCCTCTAGCAGGGCTGTAGGGGCAAGTGCTGTCAGTAGCAAGCAGACATAAAGACAAAATCCCCAGGTAGCCTCTAGCAGGGCTGTAGGGGCAAGTGCTGTCATTAGCAAGTAGACATAAAGACAAAATCCCCAGGTAGCCTCTAGCAGGGCTGTAGGGGCAAGTGCTGTCAGTAGCAAGTAGACATAAAGACAAAATCCCCAGGTAGCCTCTAGCAGGGCTGTAGAAGCAAGTGCTGTCAGTAGCAAGTAGACATGAAGACAACAATCCCCAGGTAGCCTCTAGCAGGGCTGTAGTGGCAAGTGCTGTCATTAGCAAGTAGACATAAAGACAAAATCCCCAGGTAGCCTCTAGCAGGGCTGTAGGGGCAAGTGCTGTCATTAGCAAGTAGACATAAAGACAAAATCCCCAGGTAGCCTCTAGCAGGGCTGTAGGGGCAAGTGCTGTCAGTGGCAAGTAGACATAAAGACAAAATCCCCAGGTAGCCTCTAGCAGGGCTGTAGGGGCAAGTGCTGTCAGTAGCAAGTAGACATAACGACAAAATCCCCAGGTAGCCTCTAGCAGGGCTGTAGGGGCAAGTGCTGTCAGTAGCAAGTAGACATAAAGACAAAATCTCCAGGTAGCCTCTAGCAGGGCTGTAGGGGCAAGTGCTGTCAGTAGCAAGTAGACATGAAGACAACCATCCACATACTCTTTAGTTCTTTCGGTAAAGTCACGTAGGTAAAAAATAAAAATACAATTAAAGAATAAATAAAAATAAATTAAATTACGACGTTTCGATTGCAACACAAGCAATCATCATGTGTTGCAATCGAAACGTCGTGATTTAATTTACTTTTTTACTTCTATTTTTATTTATTTTATTTGAATTTTTTACCTACGTGACTTCGTGATCTGAAGAAACTATGTGGGTGGCACGTGACCACCCAGGTACACACACAAAGACAAAGATCAAAGTGCTGTTAGCGAGCACCTATGAAGGCCGGAACAGTATACAAGTGGGTGAGTGGCCAGCACCACGCCCGACCGCCTTTGTCTCCCCGGTGGCGATGTTTACACACCGCACCAGATACTCATTTGAGGCTTAGTCGACCTAGGGGAGGCCCGGGACCGGTTCAGATACTCATCACTGGTGTTGGCCGTGAGCGGGAATCGAACCCGTGTCGCCGGGTTGATAGCGCAGCGCGCTAACCGCTACACTAGGGACACACACAGGTACACACACAGGTACACACACAGGTACACACACACACAGGTACACAAATAGGTACACACACAGGCGAACACACAACAACAACCACCGCCATTCGCCACTACTAAGTGGCGGTGACGCCACCACGACGTTGTGCAATGTATTCTTCGGGTGTTTCGCTAAAGTGACGTAGATAGGTTCAAATAAAATACCAAAAACCTACGATCGCAATACAAGCGGTCGTCATCAGGGCAAAAGGGGTGTGTGTTGGTGCAAGGTTTGTTTCTGGAGGAGTCCCGAGAGTAACGTTTCAGTCTCCTGGCTCCGCGAAATGGGGTTTGGCCAGGAGACGTCATAGACGCCTGTCACCCCGAAGCCTTTGGCACACACACACGCACAGGTACACACACACAGACAGGTACACACACACAGACAGTTACACACACACAGGTACACACACAGACAGGTACACAAACAAGAACACACGCACACACACGTGTACACACACACGTGTACACACACACACACACAGGTTCACACAAACACAGGTACACCGACACACAGGTACACCCACACACAGGTACACACACAGACAGGTACACACACACACAGGCACACACACAAACAGTTACACACACACACAGGTACACACAGACAGGTACACACACAGACAGGTACACACACAGGCACACACACAGGTACACACACACACAGTTACACACACACAGGTACACACACAGACAGGTACACACACACAGGCACACACACAGACAGTTACACACACACACAGGTACACACACAGACACACACACAAGTACACACACAGGTACACACACACAGGTACACACACACAGGTACACACACACAGGTAAATACACAAACAGGAACACACACAAACAGGAACACACACAAACAGGAACACACACACACGTGTACACACGCAATTAGACGCACTCGGAGTTGATGTCCGAATAAAGGTTCTTAGTGATCTGAAGAAACTATTTGGGTCGGACGTGACCACCTAGGTACACACACAAAGACAAAGATCAAAGTGCAGTTAGCGAGCACCTATGAAGGCCGGAACGACGCACGAGGGGGTGGGTGGCCAGCACCACGCCCTACCGCCTTTGTCTCCCCAGTGGCGATGTTTACACACCGCACCAGGTACTCATTTGAGGCTGAGTCGACTTAGTGGAGGTCCAGGACCGATTCAGCTAATCGTTACTGGATGTTGGCCGTGAGCGGGAATCGAACCTGGGTCGCCAGGATTCATAATGCAGCGTCGCGCTAACCGCTACACTACCGCTCCCCAACACACAGGTACACACCCAGGGACACACACAGGTACACACACAGGGACACACACAGGTACACATACACACAGGTACAACAACAACCGCCATTCGCCACTGAGTGGCGGTGACGTCACCACGACGCTTGTGCCAGGCTAAGTGCACCTTGAGGCTACGTGAAGTGTCGAACGCCCGCTGGCAGGAGGTCACGGGGCAGACCCAGGTGCCACGGGTCGACTGACCGAGATGACCGAGATGACTGGCTGATGTACCACCTGTGCCCCCTACTGTACCAACTTGCTTTGCTTTAGCCACCCGGCGCTCCGCTCGTTGTTGTGAGCGTCGCTCCTCCGCCCTCCGTTGTTGTTGGAGGGCGACTGCCTTCAACTGCCGAGTAGCGTCCTTAACGAGGCTCCTCCACAAAGGCCGATCTTGACACCGCTGGTACCAGTCATCGGCAAGTCCACTCAGCTCCACGTCCTCCTGTACCACATCACTCCATCTCTTCTCTAGCCCGTGCCGCGCCCGTTTAGCCCCCTCGATTCGGGCGAACAAAAGCTGTTTAGGCATGCGGTGGCTGGGCATGCGGGCTACATGACCCAGCCAACGCAGCCTTGCCTGCCGGAGGAGCTCACCGATGGGATTTTGACCAGAGATTTTAAGGATTTGTGAGCTCCTCACACAATCCAGCCTGGTTAAACCCAGGATGGATCGTAGGCATGCCAGCCTAAATGTTTCCACACAGGTACACATACAGTTACACACACACAGGTACACTAATAGGTACACACAGGCGAACACACAATAACAACCACCGCCATTCGCCACTACTAAGTGGCGGTGACGACACCACGATGTTGTGCAATGTATTATTTGGGTGTTTCACTAAAGTGACGTAGATATGTTCAAATAAAACACCAACAAACTACGATCGCAATACAAGCGGTCGTCATCAGGGCAAAAGGGGTGTGTGTGTTTGTGCAAGGTTTGGCCAGGAGACGTCATAGACGACTGTCACCCCAGGGCCACCGGCACACACACACATATAGATAGATTCCCCCATATAGCCTGAACAGACTGTTGGGGCAAGTGCTGTTAGCGAGCACCTATGAAGGCCGGAACGGTACACGAGGGGGTGGGTGGCCAGCTCCACGCCCGAACGCCTTTGTCTCCCTAGTGGCGATGTTTACACACCGTAACAGGTACTCATTTGAGGCTGAGTCGACCTAGGGGAGACCCGGGACCGGTTCAGATAATCGTCACTGGTGTTGGCCGTGAGCGGGAATCGAACCCGTGTCGCCGGGTTCATAGCGCAGCGCGCTAACCGCTACACTATCGCTCTTTGACACACACACACACACAGCCACACACACACAGGTTCACACACCCAGGTACACACACAGGTACACATACACAGGTACACACACACAGCTACACAAACACAGGTACACACACACAGGTACACACACAGGTACACATACACTGCTACACACACACAGGTACACAAACACAGGTACACACACACAGGCACACATACATTTACACTTAGACAGATACACACACAGGTACACACACACAGGTACACACACAGATACACACACAGATACACAGACAGGTAAACACACACAGGTGTACACACGACCCAGCTGAGACCGGATTGCTTGCAGCTGAATGTCAGAATGCGGCTGAGTCACCGCTAGCTGAGAATGTCTCAGCAGCAGCGTCACGATTCTGCAGCTACAGCTGTATGAGCTGCATGCCGCTGCAGGGAGTGCATTTCTGATGAACGCCGTCACGGAGCGAACAGGGAAATCCGTGACGCGGCGCCAGAGGCGGTCCCTGCCTGGGTACAAAAGCAGCCCTGCGAGAGAGAGAGCGGAGATCGTGAAGAGAGAGAGGTGAGACTCTGAGAGAGGGGTGTGTGTGCGAGAGAGAGAGGGGAGAGAGGGGGGCAAGGGATATAGCCCATAACCCCACAGTGGCTAGGAAGATGTTAACTACCTCGCCTGGTTGTCATTTGGGCTCTGCCCATTTCAAACCTTTATAAACAGTTTACCTTTAGAAGCTAATTCTCTCTTCCTGATGATGGACGCTTGTGTTGCGATCGAAACGTCGTAGTTTTTTGTTTGTTACTTTTTGTTATTTTCTATCTACGTGACTTTACCGAACGACCCAAAAAATATGAATTCCTGCAGTCACGAAAGCTTTAAGTCAATATTTGTGGAGGAGGTTTGTGAATGACGCTACTGGGCAGTTGGAGGCAGTCGCCCGCCCTCCACCAACAACTGAGCGAAGAGGAGCAACGCTCACAACAATGGGCGGAGTGCCAGGTAGCTAAAATGGAGGAAGTTGGCACAGTAAGGGGTACAACTGGTGCGTCTACTCGTCATCCTAGCCAACTCATGGCACCTGGGTCTGTCCGGAGACGTCCTGTCAGTGAGCCTTTGACACTTCACGTGGCTTAAAAATGCGCCTGGCCTGGCACAGGCGCCGTGGTGACATCAAAGTCACTTAGTGGCGAATGGCGAGAATTGGTATTGGTGAGTGGTGAATGCGGGTGGGCGGTGAGTGTGTCTATGTCTGTGTGTGGTGAGTTTGTGTGTGTCACTTAGTGGCGAATGGCGGGTATTGTTATTGGTGAATGAGTCAGTGAGCACTCGCTCCTACAGTTTGTTAAGAGGCTGCGAGGGGGAATCTTTTTAAATCCTTTATATTAAGTTCGCTTGCTTGCTTGCGTGCTTGCTTGCTTACGACCGTGCAAATCTTTCGGTCGTTTTTTAACACACTTCCCGTGATCCAATCGCGCTGACATTTTGCACACAGACTCGTTGTGCGAGACAATTAATTTTCGCGAAAATTTTTTTCTAAATTTTTACACTTTTTAGGGAAATTTTTTTAAATATTTAATTACCAATTGCTTAATGCTGGCAGACAATCATCTGACCCATAGGTGGCAGCGATCTCAAGCCAGAGGACGAGAGGACTCTAGCCGCCACGCATATAAAGGATTTAGAGTGAAAAACTTTGTTTTTACGGGTTATTTTTTTCCCTGTGTGGTGCCGTGCAGGTTGCAGCTGCCGTCGTTCTCATTGGTTCACCACAAGCACCGAGTCAGCTATGACGTCACAAAGGATCGCCGTCCTCTTTATCGCCGCCATCTTGAGCGTCTCGCTCACGCCCGCAATAGCTAAAGGTGAGTACAGCACGTGTGTGTGTTCAGGTGTGTGCGTGTGTGTACACGTGTATGTGTGTACATGTGTGTGTGAACGTGTGTGTGTACACGTGTGTATGCTTATGACCGGCTCCAGTCTATCAGCAGAGGTCTCACTCCGAATCAGTCGAGCGGCAATATCTTTTCATCGGTTGCGTAACGCTGTGTGGAAGCTACCTGGTCTGTCGCTCCGCACGAAGCTTCAGGTCTTCTCGGCCACGGTCATTCCCTCCCTTCTCTACGCTTGCGAGACGTGGACCCCCCTGGTGGAGCATCTTCGCCGGTTGGAAACATTTAGGCTGGCCTGCCTACGATCCATCCTGGGTTTAACCAGGCTGGATTGTGTGAGGAGCTCACAAATCCTTGAAAGATCTGGGCAAAGTCCCATCAGTGAGCTCCTCCGGCAGGCAAGGCTGCGTTGGCTGGGTCATGTAGCCCGCATGCCCAGCCACCGCATGCCTAAACAGCTTTTGTTCGGCCGGATCGAGGGGGCTAGACGGGCGCGGCACGGGCTGGAGAAGAGATGGAGTGATGTGGTACAGGAGGACGTGGAGCTGAGTGGACTTGCCGATGACTGGTACCAGCGGTGTCAAGATCGGCCTCAGTGGAGGAGGCTCGTGAAGGACGCTACTGGGCAGTTGGAGGCAGTCGCCCTCCAACAACAACGGAGGGCGGAGGAGCGACGCTCACAACAACGAGCGGAGCGCCGGGTGGCTAAAGCACAGCAAGTTGGCACAGTAGGGGGCACAGGTGGTGCATCAGCCAGTCATCTCGGTCATCTCGGTCAGTCGACCAGTGGCACCTGGGTCTGCCCCGTGACCTCCTGCCAGCGGGCTTTCGACACTTCACGTGGCCTCAAGGTGCACTTGGCCTGGCACAAGCATCGTGGTGACGTCACCGCCACTTAGTGGCGAATGGCGGTTGTTGTTGTTGTTGTGTGTGTACATGTGTGTGTACACGTGTGTGAGTGCAGCTATGTTTTGTTTAATGCTGTATTGTAGCGTATAGCAATGTGTATAGTAGTGCAGTGTATCGTGTTGTATACAGTAATGTAGTGTATATTCGCGTAGTGTATAGTGTCGTGTATAGTAGTGTCGTGTATAGTAGTGTAGTGTGTAGTAGTGTATAGTGGTGTAGTATAAAGTGTCGTGTATATAAAAGTGCAGTGTAATAGTATAAAGTAGTCTAGTATATAGTGTATATAGTAGTGCATTGCATAGTGTCTCGTATAGTGTATAGTGTCGTGTATAATACTGTAGTGTGTAGTAGTGTATAGTAGTGTAGTGTGTAGTAGTGGATAGTAGTGTAGTGTGTAGTAGTGGATAGTAATGTAGTGTGTAGTAGTGTATAGTAGTGTAGTATATAGTGTTTTGTATATAAAAGTGCAGTGTAATAGTATATAGTAGTGAGTGTATATAGTAGTGCATTGTATAGTGTCACGTATAGTGTATAGCGTTGTGTATAGTAGTGTATTGTATAGTAGTGTAGTATATTGTATGGTATTTATGGTGTGTAGTAGTGTATAGAAGTATAAGGACTGCTCTACTTACGAACATTCAGAGATACGTACAAACCTGTCACTATGTCCATCTGCCTTTTTTAACGAGAGTCGTACATCTGCAGAACGTGAAAAACCAGTGGCATCTTCATATACAGAACCCGAAGAACTCGTGGCATCTACATCTACAGAACCTGAAGATTCAGTGGCATCTACATCTGCAGAATTTGAAGAACCAGTGGCATCTACATCTGCAGAACATGAAAAACCAGTGGCATCTACTTCTGCAGAACATGAAGACCAGTGGCATCTACATCTGCAGAACATGAAGAACCAGTGGTCTGCAGAACGTGAAGAACCAGTGGCATCTACATCTGCAGAACGTGAAGAATCAGTGGTATCTACATCTACAGAACCGGAAGAACCAGTGGCATCTACATCTACAGAACCTGAAGATTCAGTGGCATCTACATCTGCAGAATTTGAAGAACCAGTGGCATCTACATCTGCAGAACATGAAAAACCAGTGGCATCTACTTCTGCAGAACATGAAGACCAGTGGCATCTACATCTGCAGAACCGGAAGAACCAGTGGCATCTACATCTGCAGAACATGAAGACCAGTGGCATCTACATCTGCAGAACATGAAGAACCAGTGGTCTGCAGAACGTGAAGAACCAGTGGCATCTACATCTGCAGAACGTGAAGAATCAGTGGCATCTACATCTACAGAACCGGAAGAACCAGTGGCATCTACATGTGCAGAACCTGAAGAACCAGTGGCATCTACATCTGCAGAATGTGAAGAACCAGTGGCATCTACATCTGCAGAACTTGAAGATACAGCGGCATCTACATCTGCAGGAGATTATACAACTCTTGAAGCCATTCCCCGTGTTTACTGTACACGCCGTACAACACGTTTGGAATCGACAGGATTAAAGTTTGTACTTACGACAGAGGTCGCAAACGGGTTGTTTCCTTAACCGTACCCGTACCCAGCCGCATCAGGGTCGCAAATGGGTACCCGTACCCGTTCCCGGCCGGGTACAGGTAGCCGGGTATCAGGTAGGGTACGGGTATCGGGTACCCGATTGCGACCTCTGACTAACGAACAAATCGATTTACGAACACAGATCTCTGGAAGCGAACTGGTTCGTAAGTAGAGGAGTCCATGTATAGTGCAGTGTGTACATCAGTGTAGTGTATATATGTGTGAGTATATATATTTAACCGCTCTGTGCACAATCCCCACATTTTAGTATATAGTAGTGTAGAGTGTCGTGTATAGTGTAGTGGATATAGTTTTGTATGTTGTAATATTTACTAGTGTACAGTGTATTTTTCGATTTAAAGCTTTCGTGACTGCAGGAATTCATCTTCTTGGTTCTTTCGGTAAAGTCACGTAGAAAGAATTTAATAAAATAATAAAAATAAAACATAATAAAATAATTCTCACAACGTTTCGGCCACAACGCAAGTAGCCGTCTTCAGGTGAAGAACAGGTCTGTCAAGGAGACAGAATCTGAATGGAACGCCCCAGGATTGAAGCGACTATTTATGTTGGGATAGAGGGGTGAAGAGCGTCTTGACAAAATAATTTGCATATCAAGAGGAATTTAGCATATTCATGGGAAATGCATAAATGCAATTAGTGCTACTTGTGAAATGCGTAGGGGGTCTGGCAAGGGGTTTAAAGTCACTATGCCCATGCATTATGCAGGATTAGCAGCATCAAAGGGAGGAAGTGAGGTCAGAATTAATAAAGGGAAGGAATGTTAATAATATGGCTCAATGGGAGACTAGGAGGCTTGCAGTGGAGCAAAGAATCCATTCCTTGCGGAGAATACAAGATATATAGTCAATGTCAGTGAGTGGACTGCGGTCTGAAAGTCACCATAAACGTGAACACAATCAGTTAAGATCCGAAATGGTTTATTACGTCCTTCCAATGATTGCTGAGCCAAAATTCATCTTCTCGGTTGAAATTGTCTCTGTGTTTGTATATGTGGATCGCCTCATGGAAGAATCTCTCATGGTAGCCGGATGGCTTCTCCAAGACAGAGGTTCTCTGCAAGCCATCCGGCTACCATGAGAGAATGGATTCTTTGCTCCACTGCAAGCCTCCTAGTCTCCCATTGCGCCATATTATTAACATTCCTTCCCTTTATTAATTCTGACCTCACTTCCTCCCTTTGATGCTGCTAATCCTGCATAATGCATGGGCATAGTGACTTTAAACCCCTCGCCAGACCCCCTACGCATTTCACAAATTGTACTAATTGCATTTCTGCATTTCCCATAAATATGCTAAATTCCTCTTGATATGCAAATTATTTGGTCAAGACGCTCTTCGCCCCTCCATCCCAACATAAATAGTCGCTTCAATCCTGGGGCGTTCAATTCAGATTTCTGTCTCCTTGACAGACCTGTTCTTCACATGAAGACGGCTACTTGCGTTGTGGCCGAAACGTCGTGAGAATTATTTTATTATGTTTTATTTTTATTATTTTATTAAATTCTTTCTACGTGACATTACCGAAAGAACCAGGAAGAAAAAAGTGTACAGTGTATTAGTGTGTAGTAGTAAATAGTAGTGTATAGTGTAGTAATGTGTAGTAGTATATAGTAGTGTATAGTGTAGTAGTATATAGTAGTGTATAGTAGTGTATAGTGTAGTATATAGTAGTGTAAAGTGCAGTGTGTACATGTGAGGACGTGGAACTAATCGCACTGTGTAACCCCCACACAGAGGACGAGTCGATCAACTGGTGTGAGGTTGGCGTCATGGCAGCCGCAGGAGGTAAGCGATAACATCGCCACGCCTCCACGTGTGCATCACACACAGCAACATACACAACATTACACACAACCTAACACAGCATCACACAGCATCACACACAGCATCACACACAGCAAAACAACCCCTTACCTCCTCGTGGTGCCAGACGGGCAACGCTGTCGTGGGCAGTGACGTAGGGGGAGGGCGAATTCTGTTTGGCTTTTTGTCGCATGGCGTTTGCAACCATCACAGCGGCTAAATGGGGGCTCTGGAAGGGTGCGAGGGGCTGGTGACCCCTCCACCTTCAATTAATTACCACTAAACTACGTTTAAATCTCAAATTAATAAGCTTGTGCTAGAGGTCTCGGGGGGACAGGCGTCTATGACCCCATGAGACTGAATCCTTACCCTCGGGGCTCCTCCAGAAACAACAAAAAACCACTACGTGTGGCCACGTAGAATGTTCGAAAGCTCACTGCAGAGGAGAAGCTGCCACTCCTCTGTCGGGAGCTGGACTGGTACCGCCTGGATCTCTGTGGTATTCAGGAGGTCCGATGGACCGGCTCTGGCTCCTGCCACCATGAGGGATGGACAGTTCTCTACTCGGGGAAGGAGACTGCCAAGCAACAGGGTGTGGCTCTTCTTCTGAATAAAAGAATGAAGGGGGTGTGGGAGTGTGGCGTGATGTGGGAAGCTGTAAGCCCCAGGCTCCTCTGGGCTTGCCTTCCAATCAACCAGAGGCGAGGAGTGGTGGTAGTGATTACTTATGCCCCCACCGATGAGTCAGATGCCGTCTATGACCTCCTGTCACAGGTGCTAGCTAAAGTAGCCCCTCGGGATAGAGTTATCTTTTTGGGTGACTTCAATGCCCGAGTTGGTCATGATGCTGGCACCTGGTCGGGAGTTATTGGAAGGTATGGGCCGGATTTACTCAATAACAACGGTAGGAGGCTGCTAGATTTTGTGCAGCCCATGGGCTTGTAATTACCAACACACTGTTCCGGCATAGGCACATCCACACTACATCATGGATGCATGCCGGGTCGAAGCAAGAACATCTGCTGGACTACATAGTGACGGAACAGCAGATGCGGGCCCATGTCCTTGACACCAGGACCTACCGTGGAGCTGATCTGCAAACTGACCATCAACTTAATTCTAGATTTGAAGCTGTCGTGACTGCAAGGAATCATATTCTTAGGTTTTTTCGGTAAAGTCACGTAGGTAAAACATCAAAATTAATGAAAATAAAATAAAATAAAACAAAAAATCACGACGTGTCGGAGGCAACACAAGTCTCCGTCATCAGGTGGGACCGTCACAGCCGAATTAGCTGCATCAAGTGAGGCAATGATTCATCTAAGGGATTACATCTTGAATCATTGCCTCACTTGATGCAGCTAATTCGGCTGTGACGGTCCCACCTGATGACGGAGACTTGTGTTGCCTCCGAAACGTCGTGATTTTTTGTTTTATTTTATTTTATTTTCATTAATTTTGATGTTTTACCTACGTGACTTTACCGAAAAAACCTAAGAATATGACCATCAACTTGTCATATGTAAGATGCGCCTGCCATTCTTCCATTCCGTTGGTGGGTGTAAACCCAGGACCCCATTCAAACCTAAGATGGCCTGGTCTCAGCTAGCTGATGAAAGTTGCAAGCGAGAATTTAATCATCGCTTGCAGCTGGGGTTGCCATCATCCCCCACTCCTCCTGATGTCGAGAGGAAATGGGCAAGGTTTAGGATTGTGGCTCATGCAGCTGCAATGGCTGCTTTAGGTCCATGGTTCAGACCTCCCCAGAGACCCTGGCTGACAGAGGAGGTGTTCAAGATTTCTGAGAAAAAGCGAAAGGCCCACTCTCATCGGCTCCAGCATCCCACATCAGAGAATGAGGAGGCTTACCGCAGCCTTCGCTCAGAGGTTCGGAGAACCGTGAGGCGCTGCAAGGATGGGTGGTGGTCGCGGGTTGCTGAGGAGATGGAGTCTGCCTCAGTGGCCCGCGATCACAAATCGCTCTTTAATTCCATCAAAAAAAGTAACCTGCACCACCACACCTTTTACCATCATTAGGGGAAAGAACTGTGATCCAATTTCCGACCCCCAGGAACAGGTTTGCAGATTTGTTGAGCATTTCTGTGAGGTCCTGGGGAAGGGGAAATCCCTCATCCAGGAAAACAACATGGGACAAAGTGGGGATGACCCTGCCGAGGCAGCGGTGTCTCAAATATTGGAGGAAGAAGTCATCCCCTGTGAGTGGCTGGCTGAGGTGCCATCTGTTGAGGAAGTACTTAAGGCAATCCAGAAGGGCACCGGGAAGAAATGATCTCCCAAGCGAAATGCTGAGGGACGGTGGCATATGTGCACATACTGCCCTACATAACATGACATGATAACAATAGTCTGGACCACTGGATGGGTTCTGCATGATTGGAACAATGCCCTGGTGGTCCCCCTCTTTAAGAAGGAGGACCGCGCAGACTGTAACACCTACAAGGGCATCTCACTCCTCAGTGTGCCGAGAAAGGTCCTGGCAAGGATTATTCAACATCGCCTTGCTAGGCACACTGAGGAGAGGTTTGCGGAGCCCCAATGCGGTATCAGGAATGGGCGGTCCTGCACAGATGCCATATATTCTGTCCGTCTGCAACAGCAGAGGTGTAGGGAATTCCAACAAGACCTACATCTCTGCTTTTTTGACCTGGTCAAGGCCTATGATACCATCAGTAGGCCTGGGCTCTGGGTTGTTCTTTGTGCTTTTGGAGTCCCTGACCCTTTGCTCACAATCATTAAGGACCTTTATGATGGTGAGCGGGCCCGGGTAAAACTATGTGGCCGGGAGTCAGAGCCATTCCCTGTACACCTTGGGGTGCGACAGGGATGTCCTCTGGCTCCCACATTATTTAACATCTATTTTGACCACGTAGTTTTTGAAGCCTTCAATGGCTGTACTGGAGGAATTTCCATCTAGTGCAGATACAATGGGAGGCTGATCGATGCCCGGGTGCGGTTAAGGGATGGCTTCCTATTGCTCCACCATGTTATGTATGCTGATGATCTGGTGATAACTGCTCACTCAGAGGAGGAGTTGGAGGCACTGCTGCTGAACCTGGAGCTTGCCACTAATCATCAGCCCCACCAAAACTAAGCACCTGCCTGGGCATTTTGTATCATCGGACAATCCACCCCCACAACTCCCAATTGATGATGGGGCAGTTGTGGCGAGAGTGGAGAGTTTCCCATACCTGGGCAGTGTGCTCATGACCTGCTGCGGTTTAACAGCAGAGGTCTCACTCCGAATCAGTCGAGCGGCATTATATTTTCATCGGTTGCGTAACACTGTGTGGATGCTACCTGGTCTCTCACTCCGCACGAAGCTCCAGGTCTTCTCGGCCATGGTCATTCCTTCCCTTCTCTACGCTTGCGAAACGTGGACCCCCCTAATGGAACATCTTCGCCGGTTAGAAACATTTATGCTGGCCTGCCTACGATCCATCTTGGGTTTAACCAGGCTGGATTGTGTGAGGAGCTAACAAATCCTTGAAAGATCTGCACAAAGTCCCATTGGTGAGCTCCTACGGCAGGCAAGACTGCGTTGGCTGGGCCATGTAGCCCGAATGCCCAGCCACCGCATGTCAAAACAGCTTTTGTTCTGTTGGATCGAGGTTGCTAAATGGGCGCGGCACGGGCTAGGGAAGAGATGGAGTGATGTGGTACAGGAGGATGTGGAGCTGAGTTGACTTGCCGATAACTGGAGGCTCGTGAAGGAGGCTACTGGGCAGTTGGAGGCAGTCGCCCTCCAACAACAATGGAGGGCGGAGGAGCGATGCTCACAACAACGAGAGGAGCGCCTGGTGGCTAAAGCACAGCAAGTTGGCACAGCAGGGGGCACAGGTGGTGCATCAGCCAGTCGTCTCAGTCAGTCGACGAGTGGCACCTGGGTCTGCCCCGTAACCTCCTGCCAGCGGGCGTTCGACACTTCATGTGGCCTCAAGGTGCACATGGCCTGGCACAAGCGTCGTGGTGTCGTCACCGCCACTTCGTGGCGAATGGCGGTCGTTGTTGTTGTTGATGCTGTGTTAGGCTGTGTGTGATGCTGTGTGATGCTGTGTGATGCTTTGTATGATGCTGTGTGTATTGCTGTGTGTGAGGCTGTGTGATGCTGTGTGTGATGTTGTGTTCGCCTGTCTGTGATGCTGTGTGTGATGCTGTGTGTGATGCTGTGTGATAGTGTGTGATACTTTGTATGATGCTGTGTGTATTGCTGTTTGTGATGCTGTATGATCCTGTGTGTGATGCTGTGTGATGCTGTGTCTGATGCTGTGTGATGGTGACGCTGCTGCGACGCCATGCATCCACGTGTTCGTTTGTGTGACGGTGTTGTTACCATCGTTGTTGTTGTGGGCTATCCCCCTCCCTCCTCACTGTTGTCATTGTTGTTGTTGCCATGCTTGTTGTTGTTGTGAGCCAGTGGGCGCAGTTGCAGTGGCCCCAGTGGCAATAGGAGCCGCGGGCTTCGGCGCTGGAGGGATCGCCGCTGGAGGGATCGCGGCCAAGGCCATGGCCTTGGCCGCGGCCGCCAACGGAGGTGGTGTGGCGGCCGGAGGGATCGTGGCCTGGCTGCAGGCCGCCGGTAAGGAGGCAGGGCCCCGGCTAGGAGGGCCTCTGGCCAGGGCTGTTGTCAGGGTGACAAGGGCTGTGCGTTAGTAGTGAGTAGAGGAGACGCAGAGACAAAGGCACTCTTGATTAGCCTCTATCATGGCTGTAGCGGCAAATGCTGTTGTAGTAACGAGTACTCCCAGTTAGCCTATAGCAGGGCGGTTAGGGGGCAAGTGCTTTGATTAGTAGCGAGTAAAGGAGACAGAGACAAATGTACTTCCGGGTAGCCTCTAGCAGGACGTAGCCTCGCCTGCCGGAGGAGCTCACCGATGGAACTTTGTCCAGATTATTCAAGGTGTTGGGAGCTCCTCACACAATCCAGCCTGGTTAAACCCAGGATGGATGATAGGCAGGTCAGTGTGAATGTTTCTAACTGGCGAAGATGTTCCACTAGGGGTGGTGCACGTTTTGCAAGTGAAGGGAAAGGAGGGCATGAATGTGGCCGAGAAGACCCGACGCTTCGTGTGGAGCTGCAGACCAGGTAGCTTCCACGTAACATTACGTAGCCAATGAAAATATGCCTCTCGACTGATTCGGAGTGAGACCTCTGCTGTCACACCGGAGCTGGTCATGAGCACACCGCCCAGGTATGGGGCCTCTCCACTCTCTCCATAACTGCCCAATTACAAATTGGGAGGTGTGGGGGTGGAGTTTTTGATGGTACAAAATACCCAGGCAGGTGCTTAGTTTTGGTGGGTCTGATGGTAAGGCTCCACCTATTAGTGGCACGCTCCAGGTCTAGCAGCAGCACCTCAATCTCTTCCTTTGAGTAAACTGCAATCACCAGATTATCGGCATACATAACATGGTTGCCCAATAGGGACCCATCCCTCGACCGTACCCTTGTACCAGATGGAGATCCTCCAGTACAGCCATGGAAGGCTTCTCGAACTACGTGGTCAAAACGATGTTAAATAATGTACACCCTAAGATGAAAAAGAAATGGCTCTGACTCCCCGCTTTACCCGGGCCTGCCCACCATCATGAAGGTTCTTAATGATTTTGAGCAGAAAGTTAGGGACCCCAAAAGCACGAAGAACAACCCAGAGCCCAGGCCTATTGATGGTATTGTACTCGGGCATTAAAGTCACCCAACAGGACGACTTTAGCCCAAGTTGCCACTTTAGATAGCACCTGTGATAGGACGGCATAGAAGGCATCTGAATCATCAGACATGCCTGCATCCCTCCCTGATGTTCATCTTCGGTGGGGGTATAAGCAACCACCACCACCATTCCTCACCTCTTCTTGTTGGGAAGGCGAGCCCACAGTAGCCTGGGGATTACAGCTTCCCACATCTCACTGCCATGCTCCCACACCCCCTTCAAACTGTTTGGCAGTCTCCTGTCTTGAGTAGAAGACTGCCACCCCTCAAGGTGACTGGAGCCAGAGCCAGTACACTGGACGTCCTGAATGCCGTACAGATCCAGGCAGTGCTTGTCCAGCTCCTGACAGAGGAGTAGCAGCCTCTCCTTCGGAGTGAGCGTTCAAACATTCTACGTGGCCACCCGCAGTGGCTGTTTTTATCGTTTCTTGAGGAACCCTGAGGGTGCCGGGATCAGTCTCCAGGCTACACCAAATGGGGTTTGGCCACGAGACGTCATAGACAACAATCCCCCCCCGAGGCCTCTGACACAAGCCTGGTGCTTGAATTGAAGGTGGATGGGTTACCAGCCCCTCGCACCCGTCCAGAGTTCCCATTGGCTGCTGTGATGGCTACAAGCACCATAAGGGGGTATAGCCAAATATATAATTGTCCGTTCCCCCATGGCGTTACTCACCACAGCGTTACCGTCCGACACCACCGAGGAGGTAGGGGATTGTTTTTCCGGACTACACACACACTCAGAGACGCATACAAAGGTCACCCAGGTAGCCTCTAGTAGGGCAATAGGGGGAAGTGCTTTTAGCAGTAGCAAATAGAGTAGACACAGAGACAAATGTACCCCTAGGTAGCCTCTAGCAGGGCTGTAAGGGGGCAAGGGCTGTCAGTAGCCGTGACTAGAGTAGACACAGAGGCAAAGATCTCCCAGGTAGCCTCTAGTCGTGCTGTAAAGACAAGTTCTGGCTAATGTACACACTCAGAGACACAGACACAGGTCCCCCAGGTAACCTCTGGATTGCTGCAGTTGCGAGATGTTAACCACCCCTTCCCTCCTTCTCTCACCTCTCCCCACTCCTCTCTTCTCCCTTCCTCCCCTCATCCTCCCCCTCCAACCTCCCCCCCCCGTCCCTCTCCCACCCTGCCCCCCTATCTCACCCCCTGCCCCTCCCCTCTCCCTGCCCCCTGTAGGAGCGGCTGGGCTGGGTCCTGCAGCTCAGGCTGTCGTGGGGATTGCCGGGGCAGCCATCACCAAGGTTGCGGTGGGCGTCTCGAACCTGTGTAGAAATAAGGAGAAGGGCAGTGAGATGGTGGTGGGGGGAGGGCAGCGCTGAGAGGGCAGCGCTGAGAGGGCAGTGTGCGTGCACAGTGTGGCTGGCTAAAAAGTGCGAGGATTCACAATCCTCTCATTGGCACGGTCGGCTACGGTGCGGCAGCAGCTACTCTGCCTTCTCCTGCCTCTCATCCTCTCTTTCCTCTCCTGCCTCTCCCCGACGGTGAAGACAGTCTAGATGGTGTAGACTGTCTCGTTGGTCTAGACGGTGCAGATGGTCTAGACAGTATAGATGGTCTAGATGGTCTAGATGGTCTAGATGGTCTCGACCGTCTAGTTGGTCTAGACCAGGGGTCGGCAACCAAAATAACAAGAAGAGCCATTTCTTTCCAATTCGGTACAAAATTCAGTATTTCAAGAGCCGCAATGCATCTGAGTACATACTGTACATACGTACATATCGTCAAGAAGCAGCCCGTAAAGAGCCGCATGCGGCTCCGGAGCCGTAGGTTGCCGACCCCTGGTCTAGACGGTCTACTTGGTCGAGACGGTCTAGTCGGTCTAAGACGGTGAAGACAGTCTAGATGGTGTAGACCGTCTGGTTGGTCTAGACGGTGCAGATGGTCTAGTCAGTATAGATGGTCTAGATGGTCTAGACGGTCTAGACGGTCTAGTTAGTGTAGACGGTCGAGAGAGTCTAGTTGGTCTAGAGAGTCGAGATGTTCTAGATGTTCTAGATGGTCTAGAGAGTCTAGATGGTGTAGATGGTCTAGACGGTGTAGATGGTCTAGACAATATAGTCGGTCGAGAGAGTCGAGATGTTCTAGATGTTCTAGATGGTCTAGATGGTGTAGATGTTCTAGATGGTGTAGATGGTCTAGACAATGTAGATAGTCTAACACAGCATAGACGGTCTAGAGAGTCGAGATGGTCTAGATGGTGTAGACAGTGTAGATGGTCTAGATGTTCTCGTCAATGAAGAGGGTCTAGTCGGTGAAGATTGTCTCGGTGGTTTAGACGGTGTTTGTGCTGATTGCTGCACTATAGTGTGGGAGTTTGGTTCTTTATCATCGTGGCCTTTGGGCCCGGCTGAGAAAGAAAAGCTGTGTTCACTTGACTCAGTTACTCTCTCAATAAAATGTATTCACAAAGACGACGCCTGTGTGTGTGAGTAAATATGAGTGTGAGTGTGTGTGAGCTTGTATCTACCTGTGTGTGTACCTGTATGTGTGTTTGAGTGGGTGAGTGTGGTTGAGGGATGGCTCTCTATCGCTCAACCATGTTATGTATGCCGATAACACTGGTCAACACATTAATTCTAGACTTGAAGCTTTCGTGACTGCAAGGAATCATATTCTTAGGTGTTTTCGGTAAAGTCACGTAGGTAAAACATCAAAATTAATAAAATAATAAAATAAAATAAAGATCACGACGTTTCGGAGGCAACACAAGTCTCCGTCATCAGGTGGGACAGTCACAGCCAGATTTGCTGCTTCAAGTGAGGCAATGATTCAAGATGTAATCCCTTAAAAGCGAGTTGAGGGGGGAGGAGAGGGGGGGGCTCATCAGAATATGAGGGCCAATGAATGGAAAGTATCGGGAGAGAGGGGCCAAAAAACGTCGTGATCTTTATTTTATTTTATTATTTTATTAATTTTGATGTTTTACCTACGTGACTTTACCGAAAACACCTAAGAATACTGGTCAACACACTTTTTCTGGCATAAGGTATGCCAACGGTTTTAAGGTAATTTTGGGGTGCTGATTCAAAATCTGGCATCAGTTTTTGTCTATCACATCAGGTTTTTGAGATATCAAATACAGTAATCCCTCGATTATTCGCGGTTCAAGTTTCGCGGCCTCAGTGCATCGCGGATTTTTCAAAAATATTAATCGAAAAATAAAAATTCTAAAATACCGCCATATCGGCAGCCGTATTGCGGAAAGCAGCGTTGTTTCATCGTGATGCACGAGAGAAACGGCTTTGTACATACTGTACCCACGGGCACTCAGACAAGGCACGTGATTGGTTCCCGGCGCGAGATCGACGAATGAGAGCACGAGTGGATGTACAGTATCCCGTGAGCTGATTGGCTGCGCATCATCGCATATTCTCTAAGCGCCTTCCCGTGTTGTATCTCGCCACTCTCGTTCACGCTGTCAACTGTGTCTCGCGTATCTTAGTGTTGTGTTCGAAATTAACTGGTGAGTGTAGAACACCATAATACGTATCGTATGAGAGAGAGAGAGTGAATGTACTGTATAATATTAAGGTTTTATAATTAAATAGATTTAAGTAAAATATATATATAAAGCTTAAATATACATAGTTTAAACATTCTGGTACCCACACACACATATACGGAAATTCCTAGGGGGGCCAATCCTACTTCGCGATAAACGAGGGATCACTGTATTGCATTTTCAATAAAAACTGAAGAAGAAAAATATTAAATAAATGTGGATATCTACATAAAATGATATTATAAACACACTATCCTAAAAATACAGCACCATATTTTAACACTAAAGCAGTCACTGACTCGCAACAACTTGCAATCATAAGTGACAGAGTTTATTTCAGGTAAAATCAATGAAAATGGGGTATGCCAATAGCATAAAAATGATGTGATAGAGCAAATCTGAGATCAGATTTGGAATCAGCACCCTGAAATTATTCTAAAACAGCTGCAAAAGTCCAGGTCAGAATTTTTTTTGTTGACCAGTGTAATCTGGTGATTGCAGCTTACTCAGAGGAGGAGCTGGAGGTGCTGCTGCTGAACCTGGAGCGTGCCACAAAGACGTGGAACCTTACCATCAGCCCCACCAAAACTAAGCACCTGCCTGGGTATTTTGTACTATCAGTCACTCCACCCCGAAAACTCCCAATTAGAGATGGGGCAGTTGTGGAGATAGTGGAGAGTTTCTCATACCTGAGGAGTTTGCTCCTGACTGGCTCTGGTTTGACAGCAGAGGTTGCACTCCGAATCAAATGAGCGGCAATATCTTTTCATCGGTTGCATAACATTGTATTGAAGCTACCTGGTCTGTCGCTCCAACATGAAGCTTCAGGTCTTTTTGGCTCCGGTTATGCCCTCCCTTTGTCTACGCTTGCGAAACATGGACCCCTAATCGAAAATATTTGCTGGGAGAAAGGTTTAGGCTAGTCTGCTATGATCCATTCTAGGTTTAACCAGGCTGGATTGTGTGAGGAGCTCACCCATCCTTGAAAGACCTGGACAAAGTCCTTTCGTTGTCTGGGTCATGTAGCCCGCATATCTAGCCACGGCACGGGCTAGATAAGAGATGAAGTGATGTGGTACAAGAGCTGAGTGGACTTGCCAATGACTGGTATTAGCGGTGTCAAGATCGGCCTCTGGAGGAGGCTAATGATGGATGCTATTGGGCATTTGTAGGAAATCGCCCTCTAGTAACAACGGAGATCTAAAAAGCTACGCTCACAACAATGAGCGGAATGCCGCGCAGATAAAGCGCAGCAAGTGGGCACAGTTTGGGGCACGTGGTGCATCAGCCAGTCATCTCGGTCATCTCAGTCAGTCGACCCGTGGCACCTAGGTCTGCGCCGTGACCTCCTGCCAGCGGGCGTTCGAAACTTCACGATGCCTCAAGGTGCACATGGCCTGGCACAAGCGTCGTGGTGACGTCACCGCCACTTAGTGGCGAATGGCGGTTGTTGTTGTTGTGTCTGTGTGTTTTAGGAGTGGTAGTGTAGCGGTTAGCACGCGCTGCTTCGAAAATGGCGACCTGGGTTCGATTCCCGCTCACGGCCGACACCAGTGACGATTACCGTAACAAGTCCTGAGCCTCCCCTTGGTCGACTCAGCCTCAAATTAGTACCTGGTCCGGTGCGTGAAAATATCGCCACTGGGGAGACAAAGGCGGCTGGGCGTGATGCAGGCCATCCACCCCCTCGTGTGCCGTTCTGGCCTTCATAGGTGCTCACTTACTGCACCTGCCCCTAGAGTCTGTTAAGGCTATATGCGAGGATCTTGGTCTTTGTTTGTACCTGTGTGTGTGTCTGTGTACATATAACCTGTGTCTCTCCTCCGCAGCGAGCATTCCAACATTCCGCGTGGCAGTGGCTCCTTTCTAGGGGGGTAAGTATTCATTCTCCTGTCTCTACCAATTGAACCCATGAGCCCCCGTCTCTCACATGAACTATGTTGCGAAGTAAATTAATGTCTGTTGAAGGCAAACGATATGGCAATCTATTCCTCTCGACGCGCTCTACACGATGCGCTAACCAATGTTTCAAAGTTTTGTTTCTTCGGCGTTTGGACGACATGACAACAGAATGATCCACGCCAGGTGGCGTCGCGGCGTTTATGTGCGTGGTGGGACGGAGTCGCAAAAAAAGATTAATTGCGATTTCGACTTCCGTTTATTCGGGACTCTCGGTTCAAATGTTGGTTTGGCCAGGAGACGTCATGGACGTTTGTTTCCCTGGGGGCCCTCAATATTTTTCGCACGTGGTTCAGTGACGGTTGAATCAAAGGTGGAAGGGGGTTACCAGCCCCCTCGCACCCGTCCAGAGCTCCCTTTTGGCCGCTGTGGTGGCTACAGGCGCCATGAAGGGTGCAGCCGAGTTTGGAATTGGTCTTCCCTCCATTTCAATTGCTCACAGCCACCACAGCGTTAGCATCTGACACCAACGAGGAGGTAGGGGTTTCATTCTTGATTTGAAGCTTTCGTGACTGCAGGAATCCATACTCTTTGGTTCTTTCGATAAAGTCACATAGGTAGAAAAATATAATAAAACAAAAAATAATAAATCACAACATTTCGATCGCAACACAAGCAGTCCGTCCTCAGGCGGAAAAAATAATCCAGCAGTGGAACTGCTGAACCAGCGAAAGAGCTGTTACAACAAGAGGTTATTTACGTGGCGATGGGCAAGCAAGCGAGGTCTGAACTAGAAAGGAATTCCATCCCCGCACGCAAGCACGTCAGTTGTGTTAATGGGGGCGATTAGGAAGAGAGATTAGGGAGAAATATTAGCATGAAATAAGCTTCCGTCGCCGCATAAGAGTATCGCCCCCACATATTAGATTAGGCAGGGAGATTCGGGGAGATAATGGGGATTAGCAAGTTGATGTCATGTCTATGTGTAACACAAGATGCGGCGCTGCCAAATCCGCTGTGAGGCAAGCGCGTCTACGCAAGAGAACCACCGCAACGGTGGTCGCGCCAGTGAGACATACAGCCCATCACACAGCCAGAACCATCGATACATCGAGGCTAAGGGAGCAAAGGTGGCCATGTTAGTGAGACCCCAGCCCGTTAATGCAGAGGCACCTAACAGGGCAATGAAACTCGGAGAGTCGGAGATAACAGCCAAACGGCAGGGGAGAATGGCAGCACCACAGCAAATTACGAATTTGCTTGGTTAATGTCATCCAAATGTAAAATAAACCTGATTGCTAAATTCAACATCCTGTCAAAAAGAAGCCAGATCCACACGTGAAAAAGTTTAATGTTAACAAGATTGTCATCAATCAGAGTAACAACCCAATTTTCGATAGCCTAAAATCGGTTCTAGCTAGAGGGCTGAACTTTACAGTCACCCCCAAACACATCCCAGTGGATGATATCCAGGTTGACGTAGCCCTCAAAGGTTTAGGTCACATCCCAGCAGAAGTAGCAAGATCTGAAATCGCCGCCATCCTCAAAATGCTAAGAAACCCATTAGTAACATCAGTAGGGATGAGCGCTCTAAACTTGCTCAATTGAAAAAAAGCCATTGTCAACCTTTCAGCCGACAAGAGCAATACCACGGTCATCATGGAGGAAACAACATACAACAACAAAAACCAGGACCTTCTTAATGATGGCAGTTATACGAAAATCAACAAAAATCCTACCAATCGCCTGGCTACAAAAACCAACAATATCATCACTAATTCGACTTCTCTAATCGAACCAACCAAACAGCTCTCTCTCAAATCTTCGGTTGCTAGACCACCCAGATTTTATGGTCTTCCATAAACCCATAAAGAAGGTACTCCACTCCGTCCTATCGTTTCTACCATCAACTCACCTACCTACAACTTGCCCGATTTCTGTCTGAGACCCTGCTTCCATTCACGGGCAAGACCACCTCAGCAGTACTTAATTCAGCTCACTTGGTTTCTCT